GGATAGCCTACTGGCTAAATCCTTGCCTTGCAACTGCCAGGATCTCATATGGGTGCTGGTTCGTGTCCTGGATGCTCCACTTCCCATCCAGCTCCCTGCCTGTGGCTTTCCCAAAAAGCCCAAAACTTTGAGGATGGCCCAAAACTTTAGGACCCCGCACCCATTTGGGAGACCCAGAAGAAGCTCCTGGCTTCTGACATCGGATCATCTCAGCTATGGCGATTGTGGCCCTTTGGGTAGTGAACCAACAGAAGGAAGATCTTTCTCTCTGGCTCTCCTTCTTTCTGTAAATCTGCCTTTCCAATAAAAAAATAAATAAATCTTTAAAAAAGTTATACAGAAACATCCATACAAAAACAAGGTCATTAGAATTTGTTTTATATGTTTTGAGGATTATTTATTAATGCTAAAAATGTAAAGTGAATCTTGTTATTGACCAAAAATAAATGGTAGACAATACAGAAACTTTTCCTAATCTCTTTTTATGTGTATCTATTTATTTCTTAGTTGTCCTGAATTTGGGAGGGAAATAAATTAGGCTGTTCGCTACAATAATTTAAATTCTATTTTTACAGTATAGAAGCAATTTTCAGTTTTTATTTGTGTGAATGAAATATAAACATCATGAAAGGTGATGTAGAACAAATATGATAAATGTAAAATTTATTTTGGATTCTAAGGTTCAGAAACAAAATATTAACTGTTTATCATTTCATGAATGCACTTTACTTGTATATTTTTTCTATTATTTACCTAAAAGAAATGACATTCATATATAATGTTGCTACATTTAATATATTCATATGTTAAATACATATAAACTCCTATTATCAAGGACAGTTCTCATGGAATTTACATCCATGTAGCTTTCATTATTTGGCCACAACACACTTTTATTCAAATGATCCCTAAATGGACAAATTGCAAATTTTGAAATTTTTTAGAATGTACAAAAAATATGATATAAATATATAATATGCTATGCAGACACAGATGAGGACAGATACACAACTTCACATTTGCATAAGCACCCAGTTACTTTCTCAAAGCACTTTATGAGAAACTCAATTTTGTGTCAAAATATATGTTTTAAACTTTCAAAATGTTACATCAATTCATTCATTCCTTCATTTATTTTGCTTACATGTCTATTGTTTTAAATAAAATACTTACTGTCAAATGCAAAAAAGACCCATGTATATTAGTGCACAGGAACACGAATACTACGTCATCTTATTCATACGTGAAACCTACGCCAGTTAACTAGTAGACATGGAGGATAGAATGGTGGTAAACTACAAAGTATGATGAGTGTGCAATTTTTTTAACTGACAATAAGAATCATTCCTGTTAGGAATGTCATTAGGTTGTTCTTTTCATTGCAAAATCACTATAATCGTTTTGAGAGCTTCCCTGAGGGACTTGTTTTATTTCTTCTGAAATGCTATTAACGTATAATTAGAAACAAAAGTATATGCAAGAGGTATCCAAAAAGTTTGTGGGAATAGGAAATGGAAAACATTAATTTTGATGTGAAAATATCTTAAAACCCATGGACACAAGAGTTCTTAAAAATTCACAGCAAATTTGTATTATTTAATGATGCCTTGGATTAAAATATAACACTTTTAAAATAATCATCTGTGTGTGGACATGTAAGTTTTTTCCTTATCTTGACTAGTTTAAACAGCACCTCAATGAACATGGGAGTGCAGATATCTGTTCAAAAACTCATTTCGTGTCTTTTGGATATATACCCAGCAGTGAGGTCCTTTTACTATATGGTAACTTTATATTTAGCTTTTCTGAAGAACTCCATGCTATTTTCCATAATGACTGTACAATATCATATCTTCAACAACAGCTCACAAATGTATTTTTTCTCCACAAATATTTTTAAATATTTTATTTCAGAATAGTTCTTAATTTACAACACATCACTTTTCCTACTAACATTTCCTATTAGTATATTTTTCACAATTAATGGAATATACTCAGTTTCCCCCTTTTTTTAAACCAAAACCTTTCTATATCTCCCACCCTTGCTAGTTTTTAGTAATCATTCTATATTCAGATCAAGCTTTATTTTTTTTACTTTACTTTTATCTCCTTTATATAAGGGAGAACACATACATAAATTGTCTTTCTGCAATGTCTTCCAGTTTCATACATTGTGCTCCAAATGACAGGATTTAATATTTTGTATGGCAGAACAGCATTCATTTATGTACACATACAAGATTCTATTTATCCAGTCACCTGATACTGAACTTTGTGTTCCATACCATACTGTGGCTGTTGCGAACCATGCTGCTATAAATACTATGAAACAGATTTCACTTTTTTGCAATGACTTCATGTCTCCAGGATGTATATACATCAGTGGGACCGCCGGATCATGTTACCACTCTATTTATAGAATTTTAAAGACATTTCCATGCCATTTCCCACAGAGACTACACTAATTCACATTCCCACACACCATGTACTAGACTTCCTTTTTCGGGACATTTGTGCAGCATTTGTAACTCTTTTTGACGAAAGCCATTATGCTAGGGGTGGTGAGATAGGTCATCACAGTTTTGATGAACATTTCCTGATGATTAGTGACACTTAAAATTTTCATATACTTGATTTTTTAAAAATGATTATTATTATTTTAAATGATATAGTTTTGTAGATACAGGGATTTCCTCAATTAGCACAATAATATAGTCCTTTAGTAACTGTTATAGCTTCAATAGTTTGCTATTTACCTACATCATGGTATTGTAGGTATAAACAAATGTAGAAAACAGTATAATATTGTCAAGGTATATTTAACTGTTTCACTGAGAGTCCTCTTATTTGGGAGTGGAGATGTAGTATGCTAGTCTAATAAAATTGATTTATAAGAATATATACATATATACACACTTATTCACACACACACACACATATATATATTTGTTTTGCATTTTGCATGAATTTTCATGTGCCCTTTGAGTCCCAAGCACAGGCAATCATAGGCTTTCGTTGGCAGAACTCATCAGAGAAAGTGACTCTCTCCACACCAGAACTGCTGTACAGTGGGAACTGCTGTCGTTTTCTCAAGGATGTGGAAGTCACTCTAGCAAAATCCTGTTCTTATGCATATCTTTATTTCTATCTCACTTGTCTCCACTTTGAACTGCTTTTCATGGGTGCCTGAACTGAGACCTTTTATGATTTCATTTTCAAGGCACAAGGTTGAGACATCTTCCTCCTCCTTTGTGAGATATTTAATATTATCTTGGTCCTCAGGCAAAAAAGTTTATGAACAAGTGTAAGTATGTTGGACTAGAATTATTAGTTGCACAATTGTTTGGTGATGAAGAGATGGAGTTGTTACAACGAAACATGACTTGGGTATCATTATGAAACAAACTTATAGCTTACCTGTAATTCACAAGAGAATTGTAACATAGAAAGACATGGAATTAACATTTAACCTGTCAAATAAGAAATATATGCTGTAAAATGTATAACATTTTCAGTGACAAAAAAGGTGCATTGCTTAATATTTTTTGAAGAGTCATTTGGTTACTGGATTATGGTGTCCCGTTTGTGTACCTTGCAAATTGCTTTGATTTAAAAAGCTCTTCAATAGCCATTATGTCTAGGGCTTGGACAATTGTATTCTTGGGTAGTCCCAGAAGCCGCATTCATGTGGACCACACAAGTGTGGGTCGACTATGATAGCAGTGGAACCTATGTATGCTAGAGCAGGGCCCCACCCAATCTGCACAAAGTATAGAGCCATAGAAAATGGTCTGGTACTTAGCAGGCTTGTAGCTGGTATCCACAGCTGCTGACCTGATATCTGCAGTCAAGAACACTGCATTGGTGCTTAATTACACCTGAACTCTGAGGCATTAGGGTCTGGCTTGGCGTTTGCTGGCATACAATTATATCCACAGAGAATGCAATCGCACACCTGGAATCGTGTGCTTTTTGTACATGCAGTTTCATGCACTGATAGCTGGTGACCTTATTGCAGAATGAGAACTGGAGAGTCCCATTGCAGGAACTTGGTGACATTGATTCCCCTATTATTCTATCTAAATATGATTTTCTCAAATGACAAAATGATAGACACGAAAAACTTAGTGTTTATCACATATGCTTCTAGATGGATTTGGCAGAAAGCAATTCCTGTGAGATATTGGAATGTTCTCCATCTTGATAGTTCTGCTGCTTATACACACACACACACACACACACACACACACACACGGAGATGCATACAGACTACTGAAATCTAAGTAGATTGGGTACTTTTTTACTCTAAATCTATATCAGTTCTGGGATTTTACGATGCACCTATTACATTGTGTCAGATGATAACTTTAAAGAGTCTGGGGGCAAGAGAATTGAAACTTGCTACATTATTTAGGATTTTGTTGGCTTAAGAGACTTCCAAATAAATAATTGTTAGAAACTGCAAAAATAAATAAATAAATAAATAAATAAGGAAAATCGAATGTGCTTTCTGAAAACGCAAGAGTGGGCCATTTCCCATCATGCTTTGCGCCGGGCGGAAGTGAAATCATAATGCCAACACAGCCGCCAATGCTTGGAGCCTGAGGAAACCGGCAGAGAGGGCGTAGCAAAAGCAGCACTTCGAGGCTGAGCTGGCAGCAGCGGTAGCAGCGACATCACAGCCCAAACTCGCGGAACCTTTCCAGCCTCTGCCGTGGTCAGTAAAGCCAGGAAGTAGCCCAACACAGGTTTGAGAAGCAGACAGGCTCTTGGATATCTGTGCTTCACCACGGGCGGCCAGTCCCAAAGAGCCACCAGGGAGCCACAGTGACCCCTCACGGTCAGGTGACTCTGCCTTCTTGAGGAGGGAGGGAGAAGGCTCCCTGTGCTCGAGTGTTCTGCTACGTGCTCCCACACCTGGTCCTTGGGAAGAGACCCTGAGGACTTGGTAACTTCTCACTCGTATTGCATTTCTACTGCTACCACCAGCTTCTCACCCAATGGAAAGCAGTATCAACACCTTGGACGAATTCATTGTCGGGGAGAAATACAAACTTATAAGAAAAATCGGGTCTGGCTCCTTTGGGATCATTTATCTGTCAGTTGATGTCACCACGGGTGAGGAAGTAGCATTGAAATTAGAATCAGAGACAGCCAAAAACCCCCGACTGCTGTATGAGAATGAATGCTACAAGACTCTGGAGGGTGGTGTGGGCATACCCCGCATAAGATGGTATGGACAAGACAAAGGACATTATGCACTAGCTATGGACCTTCTGGGACCCAATCTGGAAGACATCTTTACAAACTGTTCAAGGAAATTTTCCATTAAAACTGTCTTATTGCTGGCTGAACAGATGATCAGCAGAATTGAATATGTGCACAGCAAAGACTACATATACAGAGACGTGAAGCCAGAAAACTTCCTCATGGGTACTGGCCATCATTCTAATAAGTTGTTCTTGGTAGATTTTGGCTTGGCAAAAAGGTACAGATACCCCGGCACAAATCAACACATCCCTTACAGAGAAAATAGATCACTCACTGGCACTCCTCTTTATGCCACCCTCAATGCCCATCTCGGAATTGAACAGAGCCGCCGAGATGATCTGGAGTCACTCGGATATGTTTTCATGTATTTCAATAAAGGTGATCTGCCATGGCAAGGCCTGAAGGCTGCTACAAGAAAAAAATGGCGTGAGAAAATTTCTGAGAAGAAGTTGACGACTCCAGTGGAAGTTTTATGTGAGGGCTATCCTGCTGTATTTGCCACTTACATAAACTATTGCCGTGGGCTGCAGTTTGAGGAAACTCCGGACTACCAGTACCTGAGGAAGTTATTCCGAAACCTTCTCGAGAGTCTGAATGATCCTTCTGACTATATCTTTGACTGGTCAATTTTAAAGTCGGCCCAGCAAACAACATCTGTTACCGGACAGGGTCACGAAAGTCATCTCCCCATCCATTTCCAAGGATGAATGGTGGAGGAGCCCAGAGCATGATGGGAGCAGAAAAGTTTTCTCTCCCCAATCTAAAAATTTTGCTGTATGGTAACGTGTAGTTGCCAACAATGACATCCCTTGCCATTCAGAATTAAGTTCATTAAATTTAGCTCTGGCAAACCTCGGTTGTACTGTCTTCTGATTTGCAGTCACTCTTATTGTGATTATTCACTCAGATAGTGAAACATGGGGCCTGTTGTGTTGCATTTTTCAGGTGCAAGTTAATTACAGGCTTGACACACATAAATTTTAAGAATTGTGCAATGCCAGTTTTGGCTAGGCTCGTTTTGCAGAACTACACTGCTTTGACATCTCATGTCAAAAGCATGACACAAATAGCTCCATCCACAGTTGTGATGATTATAAAGGCACACGATTGTGCATTCTTAGGTTATTTTCTAACCTTGAAGTTTGCCTTTTGTTCACTTTTAGCAATCATGAAGTGATTGGCTTCTTGTTTGCAAACCAGTTCATAGATTGGGTGGCAAATAAATCTCCATGTTTGAGCACACGGAGTACCTTCGCACACGTGCTGGAACTGGCAGCTTCTGATGCAAAGCCTTTAATTAAATGTTTCTTATACCACAGATTACCTGGTACTGAATACTCCAAATGGCTACTAATATAATATTTTATTACAGTACAACACTGGGAAGCACTAGACTGCTCTCATTCCACATAGATCCACTATTTTAGAATGCAAGATAAATGAAATCATTCAGTAAGGTTTTTATTTTAATTTCCTTTTTATTTCTAAATAAGTCATTGAGCATAGAACCAATTTATTTAAATAGCTAAGACAGTGAATTGTTTGCAAAGGATATACACATGAATAAATGGGACACCATTGTGTGCCTAGAAACAGATTTGCATATATTTTCATTTTTTTTTTACAACAGTTCCATCTCACTTAATGAGTGGCAGCTAAAATTCTCAAGCAAAACTTCTGTGATATTCTGAAAAGGAGGAAAGAAAACTCCTTCAATACAACTTAGAAAGCAAGGGACTTCCCAGCACCTGGCTTTTAAGGGAGCCTGGATGGGGAGTGGTTACACAACACCACCACTTCAGGTTCCAGGTAATGATAGGCAAACGCCATTTGCCTCATAGATGGGCAGAAAGAACTATGTAAGTTGATAGGTGTCATTTGATTTATATTGGGCATCTTGGAAGCTAAGCAGGGTAGGGCCTGGTTAGTACCTGGATGGGAGACTTATATTGGGCAGAAAGGAGTACAAAGGCAAGGGAGGTGTGCTTTCCAAACTTGTAACCATGAACTAGCTACCTATCTAGACCATATTATTATGGTCAAATAGACCATGTCTGCTACTAATCTCTGTTCTACCAGTTGTTAACATGTCTGTGGCAAAAAAAAAAAAAAATCATTTGTGTCCATATGCAAAACTGCGCCCACTTTCTCTCCATAATTTCACCCTAATATTTGTTTTTTAGAAAAAATTTATTTATTTTTATTGGAAAGGCAAATATACAGAGAGGAAGATCTTCCATCCGATGTTTCATTCCCAAATCAGCCGCAACAGTCAGAGCTGAACTGATCCGAAGCCAGGAGCCTGGAGCCTCCTCCAGGTCTCCCACGTGGGTGCAGGGTCCCAAGGCTTTGGGCCGTCCTCGGCTGCTTTCCCAGGCCACAAGCAGGGAGCTGGATGGGAAGTGGGGCTGCCAGGATTAGAACCAGTGCCCATATGGGTTCCTGGCACAGGCCAGGTGAGGAATTTAGCTACTAGGCTACCAAGCCGGGGCCCTAATACTTTTTTAAATAAGTGACTTTTCCATAATTTCTATTTCCTCCATTGATCTGTCTCCAAGTTCTGTCAGCAATCATTCACCACAGACAATTTTACTTAGAAATTATACATCATAATATATACTGCACTTTACCTATATATTAAGTAATTTAAAGTTAATTTGAGCTCCTACATATGGATATCACGTAAATACTATTTCATTAGTTATGGAATGTGGATATTTGGCCTTTACATAATCATAGTAATAGAGTTATTGCTCGGGATTACTACAAATATTGGAATATTTTATGATTTCGGAGAAAATTCCATTGCATATTGCTATTAGTCACAAATATAAAAATAAGGATTTTCCAGAAGATCCTAGAATATGGCATTAATTGCTTAATTGAGATCTAGTACTCAGCCTGTCAAATCTAAGTACTTCAAGTCTGCTTGAGTGAGTTCGAGTTTGGACCAAATTACACTATTGATTAAGTAATTTGTTTTTAATTGGTTATATTCACTTAATAGTTTCTAGGCCTGTCAGGAGATTCAAAAATGAAGTTGCAGAAATTTATTTCACACTTTGAATACTTTAGCGTCTCTTTAAAAAAAAATGCATTAGTTCTACTCTGAAATTTAGAAGCTTTAGCCAAATGAGTCTCTTCCAATTGATTTGTACAAGTAGAGCTGTTTTGAAGAGTGAATGCTTTAAACAAGTTTCTTTTGCAATAGATAACTTATTGGCTTCAGTGTTAGAATGAAGTTATGTCAATTCTATATGGTAGTGTTTTTTTTTCTAAATATTTTTAAAACCTCCCATAATAAGAGAGCTGTGGTTTGATTATTTTGACCTTGGGCTTCATGTTAAACAATATCTCCCATCACCACCATATTTAATTCATCAATGCAATTTTGGAATATTAAGCACATAAAATTTAAGCATGATATATACTACACATACTGCACCTACATCCTGTTGTGACGTATACTGTCCACTGGCTCCACCTCAGATTGTGATCTGCCCTGGACAGGATCACTACCACCATATGGCTTTCTTCTCTTTCTTGTATTCAGTCTTGCTAGCCTTGTTGCATGCTACATCATACCCAAATCCACAAAACTTAAAATCACAACCCAGTCCTGGTAATATGTTGAAATTGTAGGGCTTGACTGATAGAAACTAACACTTGTTGAAGTGTGTTCTGCAGACTTTTTTTTTTAAATAGTCCAGCAAGTTGGAAAACACAGGCTTCAGGATTACAGGATGCTTTTCTGTGGGACATGCCAGAGATTTCACTCAATTGAAATTATTTTTGAATGGTTCCAGAAGGAATACGCTACATACAGGCTCATAAGACATTTGCCAATGCAGAATACACAGCAAGCTTTATCTGCAATTCACCTAGCAAACAGTCATATATATTTTACAAATTCTTACACAGAAAAAGCTGAATCATTTTCTGGGTGCATACTGTGGGTGGAATTTCTGTGCCTTCCCCTTCTAAATCCTTCCGTTCAGTCCTTAACTCCAGATGTGGTGATGGTAGGAAGTGAAGTCTTCTGGGAGTAGTTAGGCCACGATAAAGCTATAAGGCCGGAGCCACCAATGTAAGATTGACTCTCCAATAAAAAGACAAGCCAATGCTTCATCTCTCCATACTGTGCACACACTGAGAAAAGGCAACTTCTACAACAAGAAAGGGCTTCCTCTCATTTGACAATTCTGGCACCATGATCTCAGTATTTCATCTTCCAGAATTATGAGAAACACATCCATTGATATCATAAGTACCTGTACTTTCAGCATTCTGTGCTGTCAAAAAAATTATTTCTACTAAACATCTGAGTCAATTATCAAAACTCAAATATTCTTTTTAATGGTTGTGTAATAATCTATGCTCTGACCATACATGATATATTCAATCGTTTATCTTTTCAGCATGCTTTCAAACATTGATAGTTTTTAAAAAGAATTAGTTATTTTTATTGGAAAGTCAGATATACAGAGGGAAGGAGAGACAGAGAAAGATCTTCTATCCACGGATTCACTCCCCAAGTGGCGGCAATAGTGATCTGAAGCAAGGAGCCAGGAGCTTCTTCTGGGTCTCCCACGCGGGTGCAGGATCCCAAGGCTTTGGGCCGTCCTCAACCGCTTTCCCAGGTCACAAGCAGGGAGCAGGAAGGGAAGTGGAAGCAGCCAAGACACGAACCAGCACCCATGTGGGATCCCCGTGCACACAAGGCAAGGATTTAGCCATTGAGCCATCACGGCAGTCCCCATCTCAGACTTTGAATCTACAAAACTCAATCCAAGTTACTTTTCATTTCTCCCCTATTTAACATTTCATACATTAAAAACAAAATAAAACTTCAGTAGTATTTACTCTACACACAGAAAATCTCAGTAGCCCTTTATGTTAGTCTGTGTGCAGAGCTAGAAAAGGAGCCAGGAGTGAGAGGGACAGGTGACTGAATTTTCAGCCTTTTTGGACACATCGTGGCTTATGTTACTGGATGTAAACATGAAAGATGTTTACATGAATAAGGAATTTAAAATAATTATAAATCATAAGATTCATCTATGTAAAAAAATGCTTCAAAGTTCCTCACCCTCACTTTAATAACACCGAATTCTTAACAGAATATAAAGTAGTACAATTTTAAGAAAACAAACAAAAACAAAACAAATCTACATCTTTGCCATCAAGATGGCATTAGTAATTTACTCATGAGTAAAACAACTGATTTTGGAAAAATAAAATCTTCCCATGAAGCCATGAACAAAGTCTCACAAATAAACATTTGAAAATAGTTGAAAGACTATTTTTTTAATTTTCTGTTTTCTTCTTGAGTATAAATGAAATGTGCAACTTAGGAAAAAAAAAACTTTCAGGGCCGGGCCCTGACTTTTTATTTTTCAAAAGGAAAAGCTTCAGTAAATATGAAATTATTTATAAAAACACAACTTGTATTACTCTCTCATTAATTGATAAGAACAACTCACCAGCTTCAAAGAATCTGAAAATTTATTAACTTAATTTTTACTTCAAAATTCATGCATAATTAGTTGCTGGGGTTGTAATGTGCATAATGATTTACTAAAATCAGCCAACAATCAACTTTTTCTAATTAGATCTCTGTAACTTCATAAACTTTCCTCAATGGCATTCCCAGGCCTCAGGTATGGAGCTTAGGTGGGAAGTGGAGCAGACAGGAAATGACCCAGGACCCACAGGAGACCCAGCCACGTGCAAGGCGAGCATTTAGCTGCTGAGCCATTGCACTGGGCCCAACATCTCGACATTATA